TAGAGTCCAGGGGGCGCAGCCACTTGGACCCCAGCCTCTATACAACCCGGAGTTACGTAAGTGGAAAATCTCCTTTGAGCGCAATATTTCCAGGTCACTCATCAGCGACATTTTAAAAGCTTGGCATTTTTTTGGTAATGGAAGGTAGTGGGTTACGGTTCTTTGTAGGGACGACCTTGTGCTGTAATAGGGAGGGGGGGGGGTATTGTACCGTGTTATTGTTAGTATTTAGCGATCATTCACTTTCTGACGAGCAATTTAGGGATAGGACAAAACTGACCAACAAAAATATGGCTAGCATGTACAGTAGTAGCCATATAACTGGTCCTTAAAGTGGATATAATTGATTAACAAAATAAGGTAAGCATCATTCTTGAACGAAAATATAGCCCTACTCTTAAACCAATATGAAACATGGACAATATGTTTAGAACAATATGTATACACCCTATTATAAAGCTGTCAGTTTTAATCCCTTATGTGAAATGTTACCTACAAAAGTGATACAAAAGGTATGATATATTTCTTACGCGACTTCAATCATCATCATCATCATCACCCCCATCATCACCCCCAACACATCCTCACCCATCATCACCCCCAACACCATCATCACCCCAACACCCATCATCACCCCCAACATCATCCACCAACACCATCATCACCCCCATCATCTCACCCATCATCCCCCAACACCCATCATCACCCCAACACCCATCATCACCCCCAACACCCATCATCACCCCCAACACTCATCATCACCAACACCCATCATCACCCCAGCATCATCCCCAACACCCATCATCACCCCCAACACCCATCATCACCCCCCAACACTCATCATCACCCCCAACACTCATCATCACCCCCAACACCATCATCACCCCAACACCCATCATCACCCCAACACCATCATCACAACACCCATCATCACCCCCCAACACCCATCATCACCCCAACACCCATCATCACCCAATACCCATCATCACCCCCAACACCATCATCACCCTCAACACCATCATCACCCCCAACACCCATCATCACCCCCCAACACCCATCATCACCCCTCAACACCCATCATCACCCCCCAACACCCAACACCGTGGACCACCAAGAGGGTAGGCTCAGCTCAGTACACACCCAGGCGGAAAAGTACAATAAAGGGAGGCGAAGCTCACCTCCCTCTGCCTGCCCAGGAATTTGATCTGGTCAGTGATGGACAATGAGAGAAAACAAGTGGAGAGGCGGATGGTAAGGAGGAGGAGGAGGGGGGCATGAGGAGGAATGTAAGAGAAAGAGGAGGAAGCATATGTGAGAGGAGCTAATAATGTAATGATTTGAGAGGGGAAAATAAATGTAGTAGTGGAGGAGGAGAAGGAAGAGAGAGATGGTGGAACAGGGGAGATGAGGCGGGAGAGGTGGAATAGGTAAAAGAGGAAGAGAATGATATAAAGAACGAGTGAAAGAGGTGAAGGAAGAGAAGGAAAGATATGAAGGGAAGTATATGATGCAGAAAGAAGATAGAAAAAAAGGAGATAAGGAAAACGATGTAGAGCAGCGAGGTGTGAAGGAGAAACTAGAATTTAGATGAAATATGAACTAAGTGATAGAAAGTCATAAGAAAATCAAGAAAGAAGAAAAATGTGCAAGAAAAGAAGGAGAGAGAGAAAAAGAAGAAAACAGAAAAAGGAGGAGAGGTAAAAGACGTTGGACCTCACTTGGGTTTATGTGCTGGCGTCTTAAAGGTATTTTCTCAGCCTTAATTGTTCACCAGAGTCGGAGGTGACCCGAGATGTATCAGAAGCCGAGACCTAGAAACAGTGTTTATGTATGTATAGGGTTGTACAGCCACATACTTACTGTTGATGACAATAAATATTTTGGCGTCCATCGGAGGTCAGGGAGAGGAGGGGGAGTGAGTGGGAGTTAAGATTCATAAGAACGAGAATAAAAAGAACCCACTCTAATATGTTCGTGTATTTCTTGTTTTGTGAATGTTGTTGTTTGTAAGAGACCGAGGCTGAGTGACAACAAACTCAGTATAGCCACCAAAACAACAATATTCTTGTAAGAACTCAATATATTTTTTTCATGACAATTGCTGGATCATAATTTCATTTCTGAAGAAATAGTTAGTAGCAACTTCTAGATACACAACTCTTTGAAACCAACTCTGTGTGTGTGTGTGTGTGTGTGTGTGTTGTTTCATTAGTTATTTTAATATCATTCTTTCTCTCTTTCGTATTCCCTCAATTTCTTGTCTCTCCTGTTCACTTTCTCACGTTTTATTTATCGTTCACTCAGTAAGCGAATGTGTTATATGTAATATTATTTATTAGACTATTCTTACAAAGACGGTTAAAAAAAATATATATTTGAAACTAAAAAATCAAAATCAAAATCTTTGGTGTTTTTTCTCATCTTTTAAGTTCCCCACAAACCCCGCCCCTTCACCCACTAATTGGAAGTATGCAAAGCACATACAGAGATGTCTACGACAACAAAGAGACTCTACACACCACAAAGAACAAAATGACTGGGTGACCCCTTAAACACCGCAGAAGATCAAAAACGGAGAACGTCCTGGGCGGCTAATTAAGGAAAAACACTTAAAGAAAACGGGTGCTGGGTGGCCACCTGTTGGTTCGTCTGGGCCACACAGGGAGCGCTAATTGTCGGCGCATGCCCGAGTCTCTCCGTCCGACGCCAGCCTTACCACCCGAAATTTCTTTATTTGCAAACGTTTAAAAATATTTCTGATGTTTTGACCGAAGTCACTGCAAGTGAAACTACAGTACATTTAGCGGGATTGTTAGTGATCATAGGATATCAAGAGAATGTGTCGTAATAAACAAGTAATATAAGATGTGTGATAACCGGTACACTGGCAGGTAACAGCTCAGGTTAAAACAAAGCGGCCTACAAATTATGGCTTCGTAAGACACTGCGTAAGTTAAGTGGAAAGTTTCCTTTGCCATCGTTCACGAAACACTGTGTTTAAACTAACACTATACAATCAATGTCATCTTCCTTCCTGTACATTATATAATCTTTCTTAAAGTAATGAAACTTCCAAGATATTTATCGATAATTTTGGTGTTTCCAAAGTATTTTATTCAATCAGCGAAAAGTTTTAAGTAGTAGTTGAAACTCAGTGAAAATACGATACTTGTGTCTAGGGGCAAGAGGTTCCAATAACACCTCAGAGGCTCGTCACTCATCCTTATACCTGTAACACACACAGGCTAAAACCAACCTTACTCCTCCACTTCCTAAAACCCTAAATACTATGATTGAAACAGTTACATGCGCCTTAACTACATTTTGTCTCGTAACTCGTAAATAAAGTCGTTGGTTCAGATAAGTTCAGTGAAATATAAAACCGATAATTTGAATATACTTAATAGCTTATATTAGTCTATATTGTGATGAAAGACTTATATTATGAGTATGATAGACTACTATACTGCATGAACCTCTCAATTCTCTCCTCTAAGGGCTCCTCTTTCTCTCCTTCCCTCCTTCCTTCCTTCCTTCCTTCATTCTTTCCTCTTCTGCCCCCTTCTCTCTTGCCCCCTTCGTTTCTCCTCTTTGGTTCTTCCCCTTCTTCGTTCTCGTGTTCTTTTTACTGTATATCCCTTCTTTTTCTTTCCTGCCCTTCCTTCGTTCCTTCCCTTCCTTCTTCCCATTCCTTCTTTTCTTCCCTTCCTTTTTCTTTCCGTCTCATCCTTTTTCTTTACTCCCCTTCCTTCTTCTTTACTTCCCTTCCCCCTTCTTTTCTTTCCTTCCTTCTTCCCTTTCTTTTATTTTTCTTTCCTTCTTTTCCTTCTTTCCTTCCCTACCTTGTTTCCTTCCCTTCCATTTCCCTTCCCTTCCATCTTCTTTCCTCCCCTTCCTTCATTCTTCTTTCTTTCCCTTCCTTTTTCTTTCCTTCCCATCCTTCTTCTTTCCTTACTTTCCTTTTTCTTCCTTCCTTTCCTTTTTCTTTTCCTTCCTTTCTTCTTATTTCTATCCCTTAATTTGTCCTTTCCTGCTTCTTTTCTTCCCTACCTTCTTTCCTTCACTTCCTTTATCCTTCCCTTCTTTCTTCCTTCCCTTCCCCCTCCCTCCCTCCCTAGTGAACTACCAGCATGTGGGGGGAGGGAAGGGTTGGGTCGGGTTATCAAAGTGTAATGTTGTGCTAATTGGGGAATCATCGGTGTAATTTATCGGCTCTGAGCACATCATGGCGGCTCTCTCTGAAGATCCCACCACCCCTAGGCCTCCCCTCCCCTAGGCCTACCCTCCCCGAGGCCTACCCTTCCCAAGCATTACCCTCCTGTAGGCCTACCCTGCCCAGGCATTACCCTCCTGTTGACCTACCCTCCCCTAAGTCTACCCCTCCCCTAGGTCTACCCTCCCCCAGGCATCACCCTCCCCCAGCATTACCCCTCCCCAGGCCTACCCTCCCCCAGGCCTGCCTCCCAGGCCTCCCCTAATCCTACCCTCCCCTTGGAGCCCCCTCCCCTAGACCTACCCCTCCCTCCTAGACCCTCCTAGTCTACCTCCCCTAGATCTACCCTCCCCTAGATCTACCCTCCCCTAGACCTACCCTCCTTTTACCTATTCTGAACAAAACAAATTCTTGGATACTGAGCAACAATCCAAAAATCTTAAAAATTGCGATACATTAACTGAAATAATGGCTGGGAGTGATAGGGTGTGTATGTGGATGCTTGCAGGGTAGAAAAGGTTGCAGTGTGATGTCTAGGGTCCACTGAAGGAAGATGGACCTTTTCAGATAGCATTAGTGGGGAAGAATGTCACTTTTTATATGACTTCGGTGGTGACGAGTATTAATGTAAAGCTGAAGTGAGATAATTGTATACAGGCACACTCGGCGTTGTTAGATCGAGTTCTGTTTGTTAAATTTAATGCTTAATGGACTTGGCAATGTTCGGGTTTAAGCCCTGATACATGATAGTGAGGAGGAGGATTAAGAAAAGCTGTATAAAGATTTAATGATTTTAGTGAAAAGGTTGAGAAGTGGAGAGAAGCACCGGAAGGAAGACCAAAGGTTGAGAAGTGGAGAGAAGCACCAGAAGGAAGACCAAAGGTTGAGAAGTGGAGAGAAGCACCGGAAGGAAGACCAAAGGTTGAGAAGTGGAGAGAAGCACCAGAAGGAAGACCAAAGGTTGAGAAGAAGTGGAGAGAAGCACCAGAAGGAAGACCAAAGGTTGAGAAGTGGAGTGAAGCACCAGAAGGAAGACCAAAGGTTAAGAAGTGGAGAGAAGCACCAGAAGGAAGACCAAAGGTTGAGAAGTGGAGTGAAGCACCAGAAGGAAGACCAAAGGTTGAGAAGTGGAGAGAAGCACCAGAAGGAAGACCAAAGGTTGAGAAGTGGAAAGAAGCACCAGAAGGAAGACCAAAGGTTGAGAAGTGGAGAGAAGCATCAGAAGGAAGACCAAAGGTTGAGAAGTGGAGAGAAGCACCAGAAGGAAGACCAAAGGTTAAGAAGTGGAGAGAAGCACCAGAAGGAAGACCAAAGGTTGAGAAGTGGAGTGAAGCACCAGAAGGAAGACCAAAGGTTAAGAAGTGGAGAGAAGCACCAGAAGGAAGACCAAAGGTTGAGAAGTGGAGAGAAGCACCAGAAGGAAGACCAAAGGTTGAGAAGTGGAGAGAAGCACCAGAAGGAAGACTAAAGGTTGAGAAGTGGAGTGAAGCACCAGAAGGAAGACCAAAGGTTGAGAAGTGGAGAGAAGCACCAGAAGGAAGACCAAAGGTTGAGAAGTGGAGAGAAGCACCAGAAGGAAGACCAAAGGTTGAGAAGTGGAGAGAAGCACCAGAAGGAAGACCAAAGGTTGAGAAGTGGAGAGAAGCACCAGAAGGAAGCCAAAGGTTGAGAAGTGGAAGAAGCATCAGAAGGAAGACTTGTGGAGGAAGCACCAGAAGGAAGACCAAAGGTTGAGAAGTGGAAAGCACCAGAAGGAAGACCAAAGGTTGAGAAGTGGAGTGAAGCACCAGAAGGAAGACCAAAGGTTAAGAAGTGGAGAGAAGCACCAGAAGGAAGACCAAAGGTTGAGAAGTGGAAAGAAGCACCAGAAGGAAGACCAAAGGTTGAGAAGTGGAAAGAAGCACCAGAAGGAAGACCAAAGGTTGAGAAGTGGAGTGAAGCACCAGAAGGAAGACCAAATGTGATGAATTAAAAGGGAAAGTGAATTTTTGTCTTCACATTTCCTGTATCATCACTGAAAGTATATTTACACAAGAATATTATCTCAGGCAACAATACATAACATATTGGTTCAAGAAAATTTATGAAATATGTAACCTAAACCAAGACGTGTCCAGGAAGAGACTGTAGGTCAGACCAGATCACTGTAAGACTGAACTTATTGAAAAAAAACTTGGGTAAAATAAAATAATATTTAATTAAGGTGAAAACAGAGTCAGAGAACGACTTTAAAATCATAACCCAAAACAAATTTACAATATTGTTGGAAGAAATAATTGAAAAATCAGAGACTGAACAGCAGTGAAATGAATTTAAATTTGTTTTTAATAAAAACCGGGTATAAATTCTGGAACAAAAGAGTTACAGCTAAAATTGACTGGATTATTTTTTTTTATAGACAAATATTAGAACAAAAGTGGCAAGACGGAATGAAAAAGGTGGAAGATATTTACAGGAGACAACAGGAAAAAAAATATAATGCTTTTTAAAACAATCATTCATAAGAGACTTGTCGTCCAATGGAAGTACCTGTTGTTTCTGTGACGGGGAGCTGGGTGATGTAACACCTATCTAACATCTTCCCAAAACAAGTGAGTCAGTGACATGAGGTGTTAATGTTGTCCACCTCGTCGTGTTGCCTCCTTGCACTTATTTCCTCCCCTTCCTCATCTTCTCCATCCTCTGAGTTTTCTTAATGCACATATCTGAGCTGCTTCTTCTATCACAGTTACTCTCACCTTTAATTATCCTTTCCCTGCTTACTTACCCCATAAAACTTTCCAGCAAGTATCTCCTCCCATTTTACCTCTGCTTATCTTTCTCCTGCTTTTTTCTATCACTCCTCCAGGGCCTCCTCCGCCCCCTCCAAACCCTCCATGACAGCTTCCGGCCTCTCCAAGTTTTCAATTACTACGTATTACCTGCCTGGCTGGTCATTAGCGGCGCACCTCCCGCCTACCTTAATTGTCTGCTGACCCTCCACCTTGAGCCACCTCCAGTCCCTACGTATAATATTCTCTCCTCATCTCCCGATTCTTTAAATCCTAAAGTATTGTCTGAAAGTTTTGCAACACTGAGGCCCGAGGAGAGACCATCCCTGGGGGCATGGAAGAAAAGAACAAGTGTCTGTATAATGATGCCGACAACCGGTATTTGGGCGCCACGTGCTGATGTATTTTTTATGACTTCCTGTGAACACGTGCCCGACCACCAAGTGAAATTTGTCAGCATGTCTGACTCTTGCGTTGGCTTCGGCTTCTTAATCAACACAATTTAATCTTTTTCATGTCAAATACTTTATAAAAATAGGGAAAGAAATTATAAATATTAAAACAAATTCATTTATATTTGTGAAAGAAGTAATATTATTTTTGTATATGAAAACAACTGTCTCAGAGAAGGCAAGATTGCATTGATTGGCATAAATACAGTTATTTTTTCTTTGTTCTTGTTTTCTTGTTTACAATAAGGAGAGCCGTAATCTCCACGGTTTGACGTCAGCTGAAGAGTAAAATGATGTTCGATATGTTCCTACAAGACGTTATGGCTTCGGTGGCTTCCTCGTAACATACTTGTAACAGCCGGGGTCCGTCTCAGGGTCCACTCACAAATAAAAGAGACGGAAGATATGAAACGAGTCGTTTAGCGTCAGTTTATTTGATATTTCTTGATTCACACGTTGTCGAAATATCTGACAGGTTAGAAGACTCGATAACAAATAACACCGGGTTCTTCCCACGCACGCATGCACACACACAGTTAAATAACAAGAACGAAAAGTACCTGGAGAAGGGAAAGAATTTGTTTGTGGCATTTATAGATCTGAGAAAAAACAAATGCTAGAGCGAATAGAAAGTGATACAGGAACGGTTAAAATTATGTGGATAAAATGGGAGATTATTGAATGCAGTCCAGGTTATGAGAATTGAATCACAGAGGAGAGATAAGAAACGAGAGTAAAAAAATAAGTGCACTAAGAAATATATGGAGAGAATCAATGGAGGCCAAAGATGGAGATACAGTATGTAGGAGAAACATCGAGCCGACATTACTATGTGGGAGTGAGGTAAAGGTGATGAAGGCAAGAGAAAGGAGAGAATTAGAGGTGAAATGAAATGAATTGAGAGTGAGTGTTTTGGTTATAGGCGCCTTCAGAACAACGGGATAGAATTTGCCACAGTAAAACAATAAATGCTACCACCATCATTATTATTATTTATTAACATTGCCATTATTATTATTATTATTATTATTATTATTATTACCATCATAAATCTAAATGGAACAATCAACAAGTAAATAAACAGATGAAATAATAGATAGAAATATAACTAGAATTGATACCCAAACACACGACTAAACTGGTAAAAAAAAAAGAAAAAAGGAGAAACAGATGTGAAAGAACAAAAATTTTAATTAGCACAAGGTAAAGGTGTATGTGGGAGTGCTAAGGGGGGCCAGCCGTGAGTGGTAAAGGGGTTGAATATTTTCCCAATAATGACCAGTTTTGAAACACCTCATTATAGAACAACTTACCTCACCACCCAACATTTAATTACTACAACTACTTGACTTTTAAACCTAAAGCTGAGACTCGACCCACGCTAACATCTCCTTCAATACAAGGCCGGGCAGATTGTGGTACACTAGGCCTACAGGTTCTATCGGGCCTACAGGTTGTGTGGTAGATATACAGTCCTGGGAGATGTACAGGTTCTGGTAGACGTACAGGTTCTAGTAGACGCACAGGTTCTGGAAGACGTACAGGTTCTGGTAGACGTACAGGTTCTAGTAGACGTACAGGTTCTGGTAGACGTACAGGTTCTGGTAGACGTACAGGTTCTAGTAGACGTACAGGTTCTAGTAGACGTACAGGTTCTAGTAGACGTACAGGTTCTAGTAGACGTACAGGTTCTAGTAGACGTACAGGTTCTAGTAGACGCAGGTTCTAGTAGACGTACGGGTCAAGTAGACGCACAGGTTCTAGTAGACGTACAGGTTACTAGTAGACGTACAGGTTCTAGTAGACGTACAGGTTCTAGTAGACGTACAGGTTCTAGTAGACGCACAGGTTCTAGTAGACGTACAGGTTCTAGTAGACGTACAGGTTCTAGTAGACGCACAGGTTCTAGTAGACGTACAGGTTCTACTAGACGCACAGGTTCTAGTAGACGTACAGGTTCTAGTAGATGCACAGGTTCTAGTAGACGCACAGGTTCTAGTAGACGTACAGGTTCTAGTAGACGTACAGGTTCTAGTAGACGCACAGGTTCTAGTAGACGCACAGGTTCTAGTAGACGCACAGGTTCTGGTAGACGCACAGGTTCTCGACAAACTTCTTCATAAATTCTATTGATTCGAATACTCAATATTATCTCACTACTTTATGAAGGAGAATAAATATTTAGTAAACACACAGACGATAAACAGGAAATGATCTGAAAAATAAACATCAATTGTGGAATGTTTCAACTGGGAGTCAGTATACGGTATTGCTGTAGAATATTTAACTAAATGTCATTACTCTAAATACATTACGTTCACAGTTACTTATAGATAAATAAGATGTATACTTGGAAATACTGCAGGAGCGAATTATTGTTACCCCCTTACCACATAATGTTCAGAGTTATATTGATGTTTAACGAGATATTGTAACACCAAGAGACTGTATTGTTGACCATAATAGAACGATAAATTGACAGAAGATATATTGACTTCCTTCACACAGTAAGAGAAACATTACAACACAACTTTAAGCATCTGACGTTACAAACTATATGATGATAACGTCAGTAATTTTCGTTCAGGACCCTGCAGACATCAGTAATACCTCTCACCAGTATATATCTTCCTCTCCACCTGAGTCAATATTCTACGTTTGTTTAGTTCTAAATTTCAAAAGTGAGAGAAAGAGGATTGTGACCATGAAAACATGTACACCAGGTAGTGCTACCCCACGACACATGTACACCCGGTAGTGCTGCCCCACGACACATGTACACCCGGTAGTGCTGCCCCACGACACATGTACACCTGGTAGTGCAGCTCCACGACACATGTACACCTGGTAGTGCTGCCCCACGACACATGTACACCTGGTAGTGCAGCCCCACGACACATATGCACCTGGTAGTGCTGCCCCACGCCCTGCCACTGGTACTGCGGCCACTACACATGTACACCTGGTGAGGTGCTGCCCCCGGGACACATGTACCACCTGGTGGTGCTGCCCGGCACGCCTTACTGTTGAACGCGCCCCACGACACATATACACCTGGTAAAGGTGCTGCCCCCGACACGCCTGCACCTGGTGGTGCTGCCCGACACATGTACACCTGGTAGTGCAGCTCCACGACACATGTACACCTGGTAGTGCTGCCCCACGACACATGTACACCTGGTAGTGCTGCCCCACTACACATGTACACCTGGTAGTGCTGCTCGAGGACACATGTACACCTGGTA